CTGGGCCACCACCTCACATGTGTCGCACAGTTACTTAGGCAACATTTCACGAATGAACATCTTATAGGCCAACACTTCCCTCTTCCACCCGACCTTAACCTCTGTGACTTTTGGCTATGGGGTTATCTCAAAAGCACTGTTTATGGTGATAATCTAAACAGTTTGGCAGAAATGAAAAATTGAAAAATGTGTACACCAGACATGCATCCCCCGTAAGTGCTTTGCCGTAACTTAAACCAAACCAAAACCAAACCTGATATGCTAAGAGCTGCTGTTGAGAATGCGTAACAGGATTAACTTGCTTTCGGAAATGCTGGACGCTACATTGAACATGCTTTGTAACACGTTTCGGAAAATTTAACACATTTTAACAGATGTTTTCCATGTCTTATTTCATTTAACAATATTGCTAACAGCGCCATTTTTCCTGGTGGTGAGTTTTTGAACTTTTTTTTTCCGCCGAAAATAATTCCATAACCTCCTTTACCAGATTCCCAAGTTTATAACATTGGTCGGTAGTTTTCCTTTTATGCCATTTCAAAGTGGAACTTTAATAATAAACCATGTAAATAAAGCTTTAAAATCTGACAGTTTGGTTCAAGTCCCAACTTTAAAAAATTATATAAATATAAAATTTTTATATTAATTCTTAGAAAGCAATTTTTAAGAAGCTAATTTTTTCTCTTCGCGTTATAGATGTATAAAAAACATGATTTATATGATTTAGATTGTTTCATCCGATATAAGAATCGGGTACTCTGTGGTACAGAATAACCCTGCTGGACTTTTATCTTTGTCATTTAGCAAAAAAACTTTAATAAATTATTTTTTTGGATTTCGCTTTTTTATAGATAAAATGACTAGTGTCTTTGCTGAAACGCAATTCATATAATTGATATTTTAAAAAATTGACAAGAATGCAAATGTATGGAGTCTACGTCAAAAATCTAATTTTCTGGTGTGAGCCTGAAAGGAAAGAAGAAAATTAGGAGAAAGGTAAGCAAAAATTTGCAGGGAAATTTGGCTGTCAGACGTACCAAGATGTTCAAAAAGTTGGACGCTTTCGAATATACTTCAGGATACTTCAAAGAATTTAGGTGTTCAAAGAAAAAAAACTTGGACGAGTAACCAGCAAATACCATTAATTGAGCTTGTGTTAACAGAGAAACAAAAGATATCATGCAGATTAAAGTGAGAGCGACTGGTTTTAAACTATATGGTTGTGTAAATTACGTTATAGAACATCATATCGTATCATAAATGGGAATCCCATGATTTCTCAGTCAAATTATTTGAAGATTCAGGAGTTTTATCCAGTGATGCATGTGGATGTCACTTAAGATGTTTTTTCCCCTTCCTGATGAATTAGCGCCGAGCGGTAAAGTCGCTGAACACTGGTAGTTCGGTCCGAGGTTCGAATCCCGCGAACGGGCTGGCTGCATGGGCGTTTCGTGGTTTTCCCCATGTGTAACGTGTATGCGAGCCAGTTTCCCTTAGAAAGTCCTCCAGGAAGGCATCCCTCCCCTTAGGCAGATAGCCGTAGTGTGCTTTTGTCATAATAAAATAAACCAACACCTTTGATGAAACCAGTCTTCCTTTATCTATAGCTTCAAAATGTTTACCTTAAGACTGATAAACCTCTGACGAATACTTCGTGAAGAACTTTCTAAGGGAAACCAGCTGTCATATGCGGTACACATGAGAAAATCCACGAAAACGCCCATGCACCAGCGTTTACCGGGTTGAACCCCGGAGTGACTACCAGTGTTCAGAACTTTACGTCGGCCTTTTGTGGGCCTTACGAAATGGAAGGCGATAACTTTATTTAAAATGATTTCAGAATACCAAAGGTTCGAAGTTGGAACTTTTCAATATACTTTTAGAATGCTTAAAGAAAACAAGAAGAAAAATAAATTTTTCGTAAATTTAGTTTTCGTATTTTGTAAATTTTAAAACTTTTCAATATTATGATATTTGATTCTGCGATTTCAAAATAAAATATTTGACAAAATATAAATACATTTTAAGAAACCAATGTTAGGATAAAATGTGTAAAGCAATGGGCACAATGATAAAACTTTTAAGCGTGTATGCAGTCATCCTAAGTTAAAATATCGGTTATACTCTCTTATTTTATATATATTTTTCTGAACAGAACATTGAAAGCGTTGTAAAAAACTGTGCTTTATTATTTTCTCTTTTAATATAGTATGCAGTTTTCACGCATGGTAGTCTGGGTTAACAAAGTATCTTCCGAAAAAACGCAGTTTCAAAATAAAAATCAATTCTGGAAATGATGTAATAAATATTTAAAATGCTCGTTCGAAGGAATAAATAGAAAATTTTAAAACAATTATCTGAAAGACAATGCAACAAAACAATTAAAATAAAAGTATAAAAATTTAAAAATGCCTAAAATAATAGCTATGACGAAAAATCTATAGAAAAAAACTATTTGAAAAAAAATAACGCTGCACCTATTACGCAGTTCGAATAGGTAAATAGAAATTTTTAAACAGTTATTCGGAAAAAAAAAAAGTGGGAACTTAAAACAATTAAATGAAATTCGAAAAGAAAAAATACTTAAAATAATAAGTTATAATTAAAATATAATATAAGAATATTATTTGGCAAAAGGAACGATGGTGACTTTTTTCCTAAGGAAACTAGGTTGCCATATAAGAAGTTCGCCAAGGAAGTATTCTTGGCGCAAACTGAAAAAAGTGCCAACATAAATTTGTGATTTTCCGTAAATTTCGCTCCAAATTTACAAAATTTCATATTTAGGCGTAATTTGAGTCGTAGAATCGAAATATGTAAAAAAGTTGGTATGTATTTCAGAAAAAGTCGATTTTGTGTCAAAAAACTATGTTAGAATAGGTTATATATAATGTAATATATATCCTAAGTCGCGCTTCGAGACAGAAGAACGCAATTTGAATTTTGTCAATCGGCCCCAGTAGATCGGAGATATAGGACTGTCCCCCCCTTTTTTTTTTTTTTTTTTGAGCAGTGTACCTTGAATGATATATTGCTGTCATGGATATATTGTTTATTTAAAGAAATAATTGTCAAACATTTTGTGTATTGATTGTATGGTGCTTAGATAACACCTTATAGCAAAATATCTGAGTACAATTATTTATTGATAAATTTAATCTTCTTTATCATAATCTATGGACGAGAAAATTTCACCAGTTTCCCAAACTTTTATCTCTAAAAGATGATTATAACTGTACTGGAAATTGAATGGTTTAATGGTCACCTTATTGGCTTAAATCAAATATGGAGAATCCATTTGAAGAAATTTTGAACTTGAAGATTTATGACTGGATGAAAAAACATTTTACTGCAGTTAACGCTGAGGTTGATATTACTTGTCAAGAAGAGCTATTAGAACTCAAAAATGATGAGAGTAAATATAATTTTGATATTGTAGAATCAGGTATTAGTGCTACTAATCGTATTATGAGCAAACAAAGAAGCTGTCTGAATATTTCTGAAAGAGGTCTCTTTGTTTATTCCCTATGAAAATTGAACTAGATATCAAATATTTAATCTCAGAGCATCAGCCCCAAGGATCTTTCTAATAATTGATTAAAATTTGTATACTTAATTAATTTTTTTATTATTAGTATAAATAAGTGGATAAATGTAACGGTATACTTTTACTAAACCTCCTCTCAGAAAAGTGTTTTACACTTAGTTAAATTAAGTTACTGTAGAATTGGTGGATGATAATGAAATTTTATATCTATAAAAGGGATTAGTAGGTATATAAAGATTGGCTAACCATGTGTTAAACTGTATGTAAGGATTTTAGCAATAATATGTAAGTGATTGGTAGAGTGTAAAATTATTATATAATAAAATATGCTGTTTTCTTAACCTCATATACTTGTAATTATTTTAAAACTATATTAATATTATTTATAAAATGAATATTCTGAATTGAATTAAAACATTTTAATGAAATCATATGATAATCATATAGATGAAGCTTATTTTTAAACATTTTCATTGATATTGTATAATATAATAAAGAATCAACACATGACATCTTGCATTAAGTAGTCTTCTTTGGATGTCTGGATAAATGCAAGAATTAGATTTACATTCTTAAAATACATAAATCTCATATTTCATTTAAAAAGTTTAGTTTTTCCCTTTATCTCGTCACTGATTGCCATTCATCAGAATGTATATTTGTAACATGTAACATTAAATAATTTTAATCACAAATCTAATCCTTTCGTGGAAGCATTACTATTAAACTTGCTACTGATTTTAATGATAATTTTGACAGCTATGCTATGTGGTTAGTATAGTGAGTGGTTAGCAGAGTCAGTTTTCACATACAGAACCTTAGGTTTGAATCCCAATGATGTGTGTTTGTATAACTGTTTTCTTTCTCATTAGTGAAGCACTGGTTTACCCACTGTGTGTTCTTGTTGGGCACTGTCTTTTAATGCCCAGGCAGTAAAATATCAATTAGGTCCAGCCATTCATTGGCTTATGTCTAATCAAGCAGTGCTCAGCTTTGGTTATGAAATAGGAAAACCTTTCCCTCTCTCTTATATTGTAGAATCAGGTATTAGTGCTACTAATCGTATTATGAGCAAACAGAGAAGCTGTTAAACGTGAAAAATGTGGCAGCAGTTAATATTAACACACTGCATGTTATTAATTTTGTTTGTAGGTCTTTTTATAACCTTATATAATGATAGAAAATTTTAAGATAGAAAAATGTATTACAGATTTATGTTTCTTGTATGATTCTGATGATATAGTTACATATATGCTGACCTGGTTGACCTATTTTGATTTTTTTTTTAATAATACTAATGATTTTCTTAATTTTTTTACAAATAATGTAAGTAAATAGGATTTTAACATGTATCATGTGTTAAGTCGAATTCCAATTTTATATCTTGATTATGTGGCAAATAATACAATTATAAAATATAATTTGTTTGTAAAAATCTTATTTATTTTTTAAGACTTTGATGCCATCCATTTTGAAAGGAAAAGTCTTTTACCCGTTGGACAAAGATGAAAGTACATACTGCAGTAGCAATGAGGATCAGTCCCTGCTTTTTGCATCTGAAGTGATATCAAGCATATTTGTTAATCTAATAGAAAATTCGAGTTCTCAAGAAAGTGAAGCATTTTTTGAACAGTATGTAATGAAGCATACTTCTGAACTTCTGTGGTGTTTAAGTTTTGCCAGTGAAAATGTGAGTATAGTATACATTTGAATAATATTTTTCCCAGAAATGTACTCAAAGTAATTTTGTTACTGATCTCTAATATATAATTCCATATATTTTTTAATTTATTTAAGTTATTTTAATCTTATTGTATGTCTGAGAAAAGCACTGAAACAGACCTCTTGACTTCTATAAGCATCTTAATTACTGATTTTTTTTTTATTTGAGTTAAAAAAATTAACATGCAGATAGAAATACTCAAACATAAACTACACTCTTTTGCAAAAAAAAAATCGAAGCACCAAGAAGGACTTTTGCGATCGTGACAAAATTTTTGGTATGCAAAAACACCTTGATTGAACATGTAAATGATCAAAGTTTCAAGGCAGATGAACGGGAATTGCGATCATAGCGCACATTCCTAGTGCGCAGTTTGCAAAGTATAAAACCAGTAACGGCGGAAAATTTATCTTTTTTTTTTTTTTTTTGTTGCTGTCATTGTAATTCCGTAAAGAAGCAACTAAAGGTGCCATTACGATGATATCGAAAACCTTACTGACCACTAAATGACTTTGTGGTCGCATTGTAGGGTTGCGTGAAGCTGGGTAACCATACCGAGCAATAGGGCACCACCTGCAGCGTACAGACACTGGTGTGCAAAGATATTGGCAGCAATGGTTGCTACAAGGAAATTGCTGATGAAATGAAGGCTCTGGAAGGCCAAGGAGCATAAATGCGAGGCAAGATAGATGGTTGTTCGCCAGGCCCGAACTGCTTCAACGGTATCATTGTCGACTATTCAACGCATTACAGCAATGTCTATACCTCCCATGGTACCGTCCACCATCTCATGCCACTTGTCTGAGGTGGGGTTACACTCACAGAGGCCTTTAAGACATTTGCCTTTGACCCCACAACGTCGGCAGAATCATTTGGAGTGATGTCACAGCGGATCATCAGGGCTGCCATTAGACTGGCATCGTATAGTGTTCAGCGATAAAAACATGCTTCACTCTTGAAGCAGATGACCACCGCATTTGTGCCTGGAAAGGATGGGGCCAGCAGTCCCAATCACCTTTTGTTTTACAAAGGCATACAGCCACGTGTGTGGCATTATTTCTTATGACAACAGGTCATCTTTAGTCATCCTCCGTGCATCTTTAACAGCTCAACGATATGTTGATACCATCCTGCGGCCGCTTGCATTACCCTTCATGGCACATCATCTTGGGGCCATTTTCCATCAAGATAATGCCAGGCCACATACCACACGCATATCTCTGGACTGTCTCCATGCAATTGATACTCTTCCTTGGCCATTAAGGTCACCAAACTTTTCACCAATCGAGCATGTCTGCCAAATGGTGGACTGCCAGATTCGGGCACCACAAAATATTGCAGATATGGAGTGACAACTGATGAATGCCTGGCAGATTGTTATGCAGGATGACATTAGGAATCTCTACCACTCCTTGCCTTAACAAATTCAAGCATGATTGCCTCCAGGGGCGGTTAGACCAACTACTAATTTGATCACTCAGTGGGTGATTGTGAGCCATGAACAGGTACTATGACCTTGATTTTTTAATCATTTTATTATCTGTGCATGAGCTATACACATATTCACTTTCATCAAAAAGAACCACTTCCTTCACGGTGCTTACATTTTTTTGCAAAAGGGTGTATATTTTGAATTATAATTTGCATTATGGATCCATTTACGCTTATTTGCAAATGTACATTGCGCTTGAAGTATCACTATAGCTGTCTGCTGATGCTTCAATCATAATTTACATGGCATTTCACACTGTTGCAGAAAACTCCTCACAAGGGTACTTCTAATGATAAATATTTTTTGAATGTTTTACTGTAAGTAGTGGGACTAAGTTGTGTAATAATTACTGTGCTCAATTAATATTTTATGAAGTTGTCATTTAATACTTTAGGTTAGATTTTCATTTCTGATACTAAATTTATATAAAGACATAACTGAAATAGTACAGACTGTTAAACCCAAAAAGGTTATTAGTCTTGAAGATTATTTTGTGTTGATTCTCTTTAAATGCATTGTTTCACTTTTCATTTGGGTTTGTTGCCATTCAGCAAAGTATAAGATACTTATCTTTCAAATTTAATCTGTCTGTTATTAATTAACAGTTTTAAAAGCAGTAGGTGCAGTTCATAAAAATATTATTTTTATTACTTTTCAATCTGATCTAATTAAATAATTAAATATTTTTTAGATTTGGATAATTTTTTTTCACTTTTCAACTATACAGAAGATATATAGTTATACATATTATCTAGTATTCTGTAAAATGTTTTGCTATTCCACTTAGCCATCTACTGATAAGACATATTAAACTTTAAAAGAGCCCTTGTTCACCAGTAGCCAAGCTAAAGTTGGCAAACACCAGTAGTTTGATCCGTGGTTTGAATCTAGGTGAGAAAACTGGCTGCATTGCCGTTTTTATGCTTCCAAGACAGTTCCCTTGGAAAGTCCTCCAAGAAGGCATCCCTCCATTTAGACAGACAGCTCTCAAGTGCTTTGCCATAATCAAGCAAACCAAAATTAAACAAGCTTTCTTCATTGACCATTAAAATTTGAACTTTTTTTTAGTCCAAAGGGGCAATTTTCTCAGAAGGAATACTAATGTCATTTTGGCATTTTGCTTTGTTTCACTGTATTATATTTAAAGAAATTCAATAATGAAGAATCTGCAATTAATGTTTGTGTGTTTCTCGCATTGTGATAAAACAATGGTACCTAGAGACATCAAATTTTGAATAACGTAATCTTTCATCGAATATGGGCCCTAATTTGTAATTGGTTTTATTATCGATTTCCATATTTTGTAAGACTTTAATGAATTTTTGATTAAGAAACTCAAGGATTTCGAAGCGAGCAGTGGCAACGTTGTACAGAGTAGAACATTTTTATCTTCAGCGCTCGAGACTTTGTATCCGAAATTTTAAGATATGATCATTTTAGAATTATTTTGAAATATTGCTGTTGAACTGAGTTTTATGGTTTAAGTTCGAAGAACATGATATTTAATACATAAAGGTAACACAGAAAACATTAAAAATAAACCCCTTTGGACGTAATACAAAATTTAAAAAAATTCAGGGTTTTTTTTTTTTTTTAATTAATTTACTTTTTTTATGAGAACCTTCATCAACTTAAGTTGCATAAAAGTATATTAAAATCTCTGTAAAAGGGTTTTTTTTTTTTTTTTTTTTTTTTAAATTTAACAAGCTTGTACTCGGATATTGTCATTCTGCTATATGTGCGGAAACTGAATTGCATGGTTTTAACTAAGTTATGTGAAATAGGTTAGCTACAAACTTTATATAACTTTTTCTCCTTCTATGTGCATTTTATCTTATTATTTTAAAGTAACATGTATCTCATGAAGCCTGTGACATGAGATTTCCTCTTTGTCAGAATTGATAATCTGAGAAATATGTATTAAAAAAATAATTTATTTTTTATGTTAAGTCACGCAGAAATCTTCTTGAGATTATAGCATTATGATCAATCCCAATAAAATGTATATTCTTCATTTCATCATTTGAATTCAACAAATGAAACTTGTGAAAAATTAAATTTAACATAATGTAAAAGATTAGAATATATCTAGCTTTTAATTCTAGGCTGAAATACTGATTTCTCAGAGAAGTTATATAGGGGCATATATTTGAATGACCATCTCTGAAGCCTGAGAATATTTAGTCCTTGTATCCTGCATTATTGCCGTGACTTCTGTTCTTTAGCTGTATCTAAAAATAGATGCATTCATAGGAAATTTTGAAGTTTTTTGTTGAAGTGAATACTTTAAAGTACTGCAGGTTCATTCTTATAATTAATAATTATACTTATTATTATAAATATGCTTATTATATTGTTGCATTTTTCTTTCTTCTGACACCAGTTGTTACGTTATATTCTTCCTTCACTATCGTACAGGGTTCGTAGATTTGAGTGAATAATGACGACAATTGATGAAGTATTGAAAAACATACTTTATTGGCTGGTATTAATCAGGAAAGCTCCAAAGTCACTTTTTACAGTCGTCGAATATCTACTATAAACACGCTGTAACAATCAGCGACACAGCCTTCACACTGTCAGGCAATAACGGTGGAGACAGTTTCATTGCAAAGCACCAGAATACAGCTCCCGACTCTGCTCAGTCGTTCTTGGAACTCCACGTACTCTCAAGACTCCCCACGCTACAACTTGCGATGCACTCAACGACACACAGAGCACAGCTCCCGACTCTTCGGTTCAGTCGTTCCCGGAGCTCAACACACTCTCTCAACAATGCACTAACCGCGATATACTATGAGACTCTTTCAGTGCACTCGACAACCCACTCGGCACTCACTGCCCGGCTGTCTACTCGATTGACTCGCTAGACAAGACACCAACTCGATACTAACTATCTTGCACTCCAGGCGAGGCACACTCACTCGCACTGTAGGCGAGGCACATACACACACTGACTTTCAACTTGTGTTCGAGAAAATTCTGGTCTAAACCGGTAAGAATTCGTTCCAGAAGGTTCTCCATCCGTCCTTGGCATATTGCCAATTTTGTCGCAATGTTGCCAAATGGGTGATTTTTCGCCAAATATGGCAACCCTTCCTTCCCTTGCCACTTTATGGCAACCATAAATTTGCTTTGCGGGGAAGCTACCTTACTGCGCCTAGACATTTTGTAACACTGGCCCCTCCCAAGGACTGCACGTCCCGGGCAGTACAACCCTTGGTCAGAAGCCAAATTCGATACAAACAAAACATAATAAAACAAATAAATAACATGACTAAAGAAACAAATATTTGCACTATGTATGAGTTATATACACGAATTAGATGCATAACAATTTTAAATTATACACATTAAAGTTCAGAATGAATTGCAGTCTCAGTCAATGTAAAATATACCCGGGTCAAATACTTTTCCACTGCAGTTCTTAGATGCATTTCTCTTTTGCATATCACAGTATGAAGATTCAGTCCTTTGAGACATTTCATCCACAGAAAGATCTGAAACAATTGTTCACCACTCTGAAGTTTGTTCGCATCATGTGTACAGTTCACCTTGGCATTTTCAGCAGCTGGTACATGCACATTTTCCTCCGTTTCCTGAGAACCAGCTCCAAATTCTGCATCAGAGTCATGAACGGAACCCGATCCTTTACAAGCAGAAGTATCCAGGTTTAGAATCAAGTACTTCTCTGCAAAACCTGAAAACCTGCACTATGAGGCACACATCCGGTTTGTGAAGTGGGTGAATTTTCTTGCAATACTGGAGCGCCCTGCTTAAACTGCACTTCAGCATCTTCCATCTCTGCATCACATGGACTTTCAGATGGTTCAACACTTACTGCCTGCAACTTCGTAACCTCACTATCAGTTTTGACGACCGTAACAGTCACATTTTGACTTTCTTTCACTTCAGGCACTTGTGAATCAAAAGCTTCTTTCCTGTCTTATATTTCTTCATGTTTTCAATCTGTGTCTTTAATCTCGTTAAATATTTCATCCTTCATTTCTGGATCTTTCTCAGACAGTTCATTAGCTACTTCCTTCATTTCTTCATCCTTTGATTCTTCAGATGCCACTTGTCTCATTTCCACATCATATTTTATGCCTCCAGATTCTTCTGTAAGATCCACTTTCACCTGTTGGAGTTGCTTTCGCACCTTTTCTTGGGCGCCATTTATTTCTTCTCGTTGGGCTTTCTTCTATTCCAGTCTGGCTTTCATCTCTTTCAGTCCAACTAAGATCTCAGCTTTTATCTCAGCCAGTACGGCTTTCATTTCAGCCTTCATCTCTTCATATCCAGCTTTCATCTCAGCCCCCGTTGTAACATATCTGTCTTTTATCTCAGCTAAAATGTCCATCAAAGTCTTCATTTCTTCATTTCCATTCTAAAGCATTCCAAGGCATTCCTCTGCAGGCGGGTCACTGGCATTCACTCACTAATCCCACTACTGACACCAGTTGTTACGTTATTTTTTCTGCCTTCACATTTGTACTGGGTTCGTAGATTTGGAGTGAATAACGACAACACTTGATGACGTATCGAAACACACTTTATTTACCAATATTAATCAGGACAGCTCCAAAACACTTTTACAGTTGTTGAAGATCTACTATAAATACACTTGACACGATCAGCGACACAGTCTCCAGGTTATCAGGCTATCACGGTGGAGACAGCTTCACGGCAAAGCACTATAGTACAGCTCTCGAGTCCTCTTGGTCGTTCGCAGAACTCCACGTACTCTCGAGACTCTCTACGCTGCAACTCGCAATGCACTCGACGACACACAGAGCACGGCTAACGACTGTTCGCTTTAGTCGTTCCCGGAGCTCAACATGCTCTCTCGATGATGCACTAACCGCGATATACAATGAGACTCTTGAGTTGCACTCGATGACCCACTCGGCACTCGCTGCCCGGCTGTCAACTCGATCAACTTCGCAGGGATTGACTTGCTAGATGAGACACCAACTCGATACTAACTAACTCACACTCTATGCAAGGCACTCTCACTCGCTCTCTCGACGTGGCACACACACTGACTGTGGACACACACTCGATACTGACTATCTCGCACTCCAGACGAGGCACACTCACTCGCACTCTAGGCGAGGCACACACACACTGACTGTGGACCAGTAGGGTTTATATAGCTTTCGGCTTGTGTTCGAGAACATTCTGAGCTAAACCGGTAAGAATTTGTTCCAAAAAGGTTCTCCATCCGTTCATGGCATATGGCCAACTTTGTTGCCAAATGGGTGATTTCTCGCCAAATGTGGCAACCCTACCTTCTCTTGCCATTTTATGGCAACTCTAAACTTGCTTTCCAGGGAAGCCACCTTACCGTGCCTAGACATTTTGTAACAATATTATTATGATGATTCTACTTCTGCATAAAAAATTATGCTTTATCTTTTGTAGATTATACATTAGTGGCTTTGTAAATTATAAATTTTGTAGTTTTTTTAATCATTTTATTAATTTATTATATATAATATATATATATTATTATATTAGTAAAATATATATATAATATAATATTATATATGTAGTAAAATCGGAAGAAGCTCGATGTAATAACTTGGCGTGGTAGATAGATGCGTAAATCAGAAACTTGCATGCGTGACCAAATTTAATTGTTTCCTTTTTATTCATATTTGGCACAGTTTAATTTAATCCAACACAGATCAAATTGGCACTACAGCACCTCGTTCTCAATGAACATTTTACATCGGATAAAGTTGGAAAATATATTTTTGAAGCGAAACAAAAGAGAGCAGAGAGACAAAAAAAGGGGGGAAAGAAAAAAAAAAAGAGAAAGATTGAGATTGCCCGGCAAAGATCTTTTATACTAAGGCATGATTACATTTAAGTTCACATTACAAGAATGTTTATATTCAGTGAATTAAATTTCAGATACATAACAGATGAATATTCAGATGCTGGATTAAGATTTCATTCCATGAATAATTGGCAACAGAGATCAGATGATAGTACACTTTTCAGAATTACAGGAAGTAAAGATTATATTAGAAATATTACTGCTTTACTATTTTTAGGATGATGAGTGAAGCATGCTCAAATTTAAAATAGGTGTTATATTGTTCATTTATTATTAGAAATGTAGATATTTTATATGTTATATATGTGTAGATGTGTATGTATGTATACACGTATGCATACGTATATTAATGCATATTTTGTGGCAACTGTATTTTCTCAGGAGATGGAAACTCATGTTGATAAGCTTAGCACAAATTGCTGCAAAATTCTATCATTTTTGCCTGTAGAGAAAGTTCAGGAACTTGTAAATATTCTCTTTTATAGGTAAGTGGATTCATATCTGCTATTATAAATAATCTGATTATTTTAATGAGTTTTGTTTGTAGAAATGTTCATTTTTATTATACATTGATTTAGGTTGTAGACATTTTAATTATAGTTGAACACAGTGAAATAATAAAGGGGCCATGGATATTTATTTGCATAATCTTATCTTTTTATTTTAATTAATTGCTTTTATTAAAATAGTTTTAAATTTTAAAAAAAAATTAAATATTAAAAAAATATTAAAATTTTTACACAAAAATAACATTTAAGTAATAAACCCATGTATTTGTAGGATAAAAAATGCATTTTTCTAAACTAATTTATTAATAAAGTTTCCTATTCATGTTTTCTGATAATTTAATTTTTTATACATCTAATAACTAAACCTGAAGCAATTATTTGATTCTACATATGATAGATAGTTGAATTTTTTTTAAATGTATGTGTATTTGTATTCTATTAGAATTTAAGGAATTGAATTGAAATGGGGATTTGTCATTAATAATTATTGTTATAATTGGAAGAGTCTTATGCATGTCATTTATTATCAATGATTGGTCTGCAAATCAACATGGATAAAAACAGAGTGCTTGTTGGTAACAGGGGTGAGAAGTTCAGGATCCTGAAAACAAAAGCTTTGCAATTTGCTTTGCTTTGTCTGCTAAAATGTTTTGCTAGAAGAGTGGCAAAAACTGCTGAAGGATCCATAGCTTATTCTTGGTGTACAGAATCATGCATATTTCAAAAATTTCATCTCCGAGTTGGTTATGCATATGATACTGATCGAGCGGTACTGTTTCATCATTGAGTGAGCCTCACAATTTTCCTTGCTGCAGGGAAAACGAGGCAGGAAGAGTTATGGAATGATGCATGCCTAGATTATTTAAATAGGTTATTAGTCTGGAGGCAGTTCAGAAGAATAATGAATTGATGCAAGTTAACTGACAAATAATGAAGAGGAATATGCTCTTCATATTGACATTAGTCATAGTATCATTCACGTTATCTTGTGTGACTTCAGTCGTATGAAAGTTTGTGATCATTGAGATGTGTAGAATCTAACAGTTGAGTGCATGAGCATATCCCTAGAGCATCAGAAGATAATCTAGAAAGGAAAATAATTTTCTTTTATGCATTGTTGTAGAGGATGAATTTATTTGCCATTGCTTCAATATCACTGTCAATCAAATGACTCTGTCAGTACTCTCTGTAATGTCAATACTCTCTGTAAAATGACTCTGTCAATCAAATGATTGACAGAGCATGTAATTCAAACACACTCTGTTTCCTTGATTAGAGAAACTGTTCCTAGCTTAGTGCTAAGAAGGATGGGGAAAATATTACCAGGGATAACTTTTTATTGAGTTTCTGCTGAACTTCTTGATCATATTACAAAACCATAAGGTAAGAATCCAAGCAGAATTGATGAGAGTGTCTGACCAGGAAACTGTCTTTTTACATACAGTACCAACTCCTGTGTGATAAATACAGTACAAACTGGCAGACTATGGTTTAGAAACATGTTGCAGCTTCTTCATTATTCCTTGTGATTTCTAAAACTTTAGGATGCCTTAGACTGTAATAATAGTTATAAAGAAGGATGATTGCACATGCTGTTGCAACTGTATTCAATCAGATAGTATTTCAATAAAAAAGGAATAAAACATCAAAGTTTGGCTTCAAGGTGTAAAAATGTTCAAAATGCATACCCAAGGAAAAAACCGAAACGGAATGTTGTAAAGCTAAGAATTTTAATATTAAAGTCAAAGGACAGTTGCATAATCATTAAAATGCTCAGTGTCAACTGTAAAGAAAGTGATGAATTCTGATTTGAATCTTATAATGCCGACACAATGTGCATCATTTTATTACATATTGCCACAAGCAGAATGCACTGCAGAATTCTCTGAGAAAGAATTATTCCAATGAAAATGAAAAAACTGTTAGATGAATTTAGAATATATTTAAATAACTGCAATAAGAGAGATCCATTTATTATCATCAAAAAGAAGGGGGGAAAACTTTTAGAACATGGTTCAAAGTATCTAGAAAGTTTTCAATATCTAAAGAAAGTTCAATGGGATTTATGATTATTGCTGATTCTTTATATAATGACAAATAACAATTAAAGAGAGTGTAGAAAACTGTTAAGGTCAACTCCACATATTATCAGGAACATATTTTATACCCAATTTTCAAATATGGCATATCTCATGAAGCACTGCCATCGATCAGTAGAATTGCATCAAGACAGAACAAGCAGCAGCGTGTCAAAATTCACTGTTAATTTCCTGGAAGAAATGGGACAAGAAACAAGGCCATACCCTTTCCTCATATCTCTGCTAAATCTCCTAATGTATCATCCACTTATTTTGCACTTTTGGACTTTTAAAAGCGAATTGACCAAACGACCCTCCATGGATAATGGAAAGCTGGTCAAGAGGAATGGGATAAAATACCTCTTCGGTTACTGAAAAAGGCTTTATTTTCTTTGAAATTACTGTGTCAAAAGAAAATGAAAAATAATGTTTGTCAAATGGAACATTTAAAACAAAAAAATTTTAGGTAAAATGTTTTTATAAATACAATGAAAATTGTTTAAAAAATTGTGTAAACAGCCTCTGTAGACAGAAAAATGGTGTCTCCCTTTTCAGGTTCATTTTTTTTTTCTCCTTTCAAGTTAGATTTTCATTATTTATCTACTTTAAATTAATCTTTTATTTGTTTGATCATAGATTGTTTTGAATAGTTTAACATATTTTACATTGTTCCAAAGCAGGTGTTAATTGCTAGTGATTTTCATATTCTTAAGTGCTTGCTACATAATATGCATGCAGATCAGTTGTTTAGCAGTTTTTGATGTACTCTGAATGTTGCAGTTAAATATATTAATATAGCATTTAATTGGTTGAAATATTAAGAGTTAATTTAAGTGTTTAATAAAAGGGCTGGTCTATTGATGGTAAAATTAGAGGTTTGAATGTAAAACAAAATCTTAGATGACATGGTTTTTGTATGAAAGGTGGAATATAGGTATATTAAATTTATATCCCCACTTCTCTTTTGCATTATTTACCTGTATTTATAATGAGAGAGAAAAGATGCACTCAATTAACTGTATCCATAAGTATTATTCTCAAATATAACATGGTGGATGGTTTATATCTATCCTGCCTGTGTTAAAAAAACTTGGCATCTGCTTTGTTATGTATCTCAATCAATCAAATCAAATTACTATCCAAAGTACTGCTCGAATACTTAATGTTATTCCATTTTTTCTGACCATTGTATAGCATAATATAAGGGCAGTATAAGTTAACACTACTATGAGAATAAGTATTATTTCTTCTAATAAAAGCATCTATTTTTTTTTGTTATTCAAATATTTATATTTAGAGCAAAAGTCTGTATTTTCAATACTTTTATAATTACTGTTAAATAATTTTGTATTTGAAATTTTGAATTTTGTTTGTGAAATTTTATGACTGATAAAGAAAGCTATATATTTTGACACTTAATGTTGTTACAGGTCCTTGGATGAAGGAATATACTGGGCACTACCCTTTCAATGTCTTCTTCAAATCCTGCAAACAGTTTGTTCTCATTTTTTTCCTCAGTTTCCAGAAATGATCTGTAAAGCAAATGAGTGAGTTTGAAGATATATACAGGGTGTTTCATAGATCATGGGACAAACTTGGAGTCGTGGTGTAGCATACTAAAACATCCATTTTTTTTTAGAGGAATGTAGGGTCTAAAGTGATGGATTAAGGCAGGAACGGGGAAAAAAAAAAAAAAAAAAAAAACACGTTACGAGAGGAAAATGTGCTTATTCACAAAATCAACGCAAAGGGCTTTTTTGTAGCAATACAGTATTCACAATAAATGTTCAAAATTGCAACCACCAGCAGTAATACATGCTTGGTAACGTCGCAGAAGGGATTGACAAACATTCTGATAAACGACAGGCATTTTGTGTGTGCTTGCAGCCGCAATGGATAAACGTGCAACGAGGTCCTCCAGTGAGTCAAGGGGAGTCACGTAAACGATGCTCTTCAGATGGTCCCCCATAAAAAAAATCCAAGCTGGTTAAATCTGGCTAACGGGGTGGCCATCGAACGGGTCCACCACGGCCAATCCATCGGCCCGGAAATGTCCCATCCAAGTAATTGCGGACCCACACGGGGTTATGGACTGGTGCACTATCATGCTGGAACCACATGCGATCATGAACGACAGCCGTAACATCCTGCAGCAATTCCGGTAGCACCTCTTGCAGAAAAATATGATAACATAAGCCATTTGTATGTACAGGTAAGAGGTATGAGCCTATGAGGTAGTCGTTAACAATACCCGCCCACACATTCACGAAGAAGTGGGTTTGGAATGCATGTGGAAATGTCCCATCCAAGTAATTGCGGACTTGCATGTGGTTATTGGCTGGTGCACCATCATGCTGGAACCACATGCGATCACGAACGACAGCCGGAACATCCTGCAGCAGTTCCGGTAGCACCTCTTGCAGAAAAATATGATAACATAAGCCATTTGTACATACAGATAAGAGGTATGGGCCTATGAGGTAGTCGTTAACAATACCCACCCACACATTCACGGAGAAGCGAGTTTGGAATGCATGTGGACGTGTGCTGTGTGGATTATGAGTTTCCCACACGTGCATGTTGTGGCTATTGAAGATGCCGTCCTGTGAGAAAGTTGCCTCGTCTGTGAATAGCACATCCGATGGGAAATCCACCTGCACCGCACACTGCTGCAAGAACCAATGACAGAAATGAACTTGAAGAGGGTAATCTGTCTCTTGCAAGACTTGGACTCTGCAAATGGTATGGGTGCAAACAATTTTCATGCATTACTCTCCAAATGGTGGAATGACTCAGCTGCAGATGATGTGCAATAGCTCTTGTACTTGTCTGAGGTGATTCATGCACAATGTTCAAGATGGATTCTTCAATGCGAGGTTGTTGTGCACGTCTTCTTCCACTCCTAGTGTCAGAGGTGGCTTCAAATGACCTGTTTTCACACTGAGACCGATGCAACCTCTCGAACATTTTTTGCTTCGGCATATGCCTGTTTGGAAATCGTTCTTGGTACAACCGTAGCACTGCTTTGCTCTTCCCATTAGCAGCACCATACATGAGATGCATCCAGCTTTTTCCCTGTGCGTAAACTCACCCATCACGCTCGACATCAGAGTTGCGAATGATCCTCTGGTGCATCGGATCGTGGTTTGTCCGGCTCACTACTGCCCTCTACCGCTGCATTGCCAGCCAAACACAGCTGTAGTTCCTATCACTGTTAGTTTTCGCTTTTTTATACATTTATTGTGAATACTGTATTGCTACAAAAAAGCACTTTGCGTTGATTTTGTAGGTAAACACATTTTCCTCTCGTGTCTTTTTTTTTTTTTTTTTTTTTTCCCATTCCTGCCTTAACCCCTCACTTTAGACCCTACATTCCTATACAAAAAATGCATGTTTAGTACACTCCACCACCCCTTCAAGTTTGTCTCATGATCTGTGAAACACCATGTAGATATATATATATATATTAGCAATTTTCTATGGTATAAATTATTTCTGCTGATCGAGAGAAATGTTAAAATTTTTCTTAAATATGAAAGAATTTCTTTTTATAATATAGTTTTGCAGTGGAGCATAAAATAAAAGAAAATTCCTTTCCAAATTAACCCTTCCAAATTTTCCCTGCTATTGGCATTTGCCACCTTCATAGTTAGAGGTCTGTTTTATCAGTAATAGAGATTGTTTTAGTGTTTACCGCTAAAGGTCTCATCTGATAGCTTGTCCGCATGTGTTTTCGCATGCATCTTGTGGATATTTTTTTTTTTAATCCCTGTCTGTAAAATGATTTGTTAGTAGGAATGATTTGATAATATGTTGCAAAGGGTTCTAACAGTTGTAAAATGTAACACTTTTTTTCCCTCCCCCCCCCCACATCTTAAAAAGTCGGGGAATAAAAGATTAAGGGAAAATAGTTTGAGTTGCATCATTTAAAAAAAAAAAAAATGAGATTCACTTATAAATTGTACTCCATAAAGTGTGAAATCCAAACGTCCAGTATTCAGAATAATCTAAAATCTGGAAACCAACTTCCTTTCCCTCCACTTTTGTATGTTTTTACGCATGTGCATTTGATATTTTTTATAATAAAATAGGGAGAGTCCTGATTTTTAATTTCATTTTGGCTCTAAATAAAATACCTACATATTGAAAAAATAATCATTTATTAGCATAAATATGTATGATCAGTGATTTGGCTTCATAGCTGTATTTTGACTTAGTATACACCTCAAGTATTCTGTTTTGACATATCATTATTTCACATGTATTGAATAATTTATACCTCTGGGCCAATTTGGCGAATCGTTATTTATTTTCTTCTATTACCACATGATTATCACACATGGCAGCTTGAGAAATAACTCGGCAGCGATGTCTAATATTTTTTTTCAGATATGAATAATTGAATACCAAAGAGCATGATAACCTATCCTATTTTGTTGACATTACTCTTGGCGATGATTACAAACTTCAGCGAACTGTGCTGCAAAGTACTGTGTTGACAAGGAGAAATTTTCTTCTTTATACAAAATGATTTTGTAAATGATACTCAGAGACCAATAGATTAAATTTAGTGTTTCAATTGAAAATAAGTTATTTGTTATTCATATGAGCCCAGACCTGCACCCAGCTGGGCTGCAGAGTTCATGGTAGACAAAATTTTTAGAATTTAGAAAGCACTTAATAGTAACAAAATTAAGTGATGGCAAAATCTTTAGAATTCAGAGAAGGCACTGGGATGCAAAAATTTTAGAACTTAGGCAGGCACTTAACAGCAGAATTTAAGACCTGCAGCACTGTCTGCACCAGACTGTAAAATAATTAGGGTTTGCCCTGGTTAAGCCTTAAGCATAAGTAGAAATTTATTTGCTTGGAACTCAAATAAGCCTTAACCATGTGTCGGAAATAGGTGTAAATATAATAAATAATATAATTCAGGCTTAACTTCATCAGCATGTTATAGAAACAAGATAAAATTTAGCATAACAACATGTCATTAGTCGCTAAGCTTAATCTACATCAACAAAAGTGTACAGCAGATGCTAATTAAGCTTTATGATGATAGTTGCAAATTTAAAGGTTTTCAGGTATAGCTAACAGAAAGTTAAATTTTCCAATTAATAGAATTTGTGATCCCCAATCATCAATCAATTAACAGATGGTGAAATCTATGATATGGTTGCAAATCCAGGAAATATCTCTATCGATAGTGTAGAAAAAGACAGAGAGGTTGTTGAGAACGAAAAAATTTTTACTGTCAATTTAGTAGGAATTCTTGACATCAGCAGTTGCAGAACTTGAACTGTGAAAATTTGTAACTGAACAAGAAGCTCTGTCTATCTATAGAATTAAAGTATTAGCATAGAAAACAAAGTAACTTAAACAACTTACATTAAAAGAAATGTTCATTAAAACAACCAAATAATTACTATGCTTTTTTACTATTATTATTATTTTGATATCTTTAAGGTCATAAATGCTTCTCTTTTTTATTTTTAATTTTTTATTTTATAATTTCTACATGTCATTTTACTGGATTTAAACTGAAGGTCCAGAAAAATTCCAAATCTGAGGTCGCCGAAGTCCCAATGAGTTCAGGTTTCATACTTTGTACTGTAGTAGCCAATCTACAAAGAATTTTAGTGACCTGTTATTTCTATCTCTACATATAATAAAACAAAGAGTCTGTCTGTGTGTGTCTTTCGTTCGCGCTGCGCGTAAGCTAATAGACCCACGGCTACGAAATTTGGTACACAGGTGCATCTAGATAAGAGCCAGTGCACCTCGAAGCGATTTTTTCAAAATTTGAATAAGAATTTTTTTATTTAATGTTTTGTGATGAAATTGGGTCATTTTGAGACATAATGGGCTAAAGAAAAGCGAGATTTTACTCTACACCTTTTTCCCATCGTCATGAAACGTAGGCACTTAGCTATTTTATGAACTTAAAATAAATTTCGTGTTTCAATAAATCGATTAAATATGAATTTATTTAACAAAGTGAGCTTAACACCTTTTCAAAGGGATTTTTTCTAAAAATGTTTATTTTTAAAAATGTACAGTTTATTTTTCTTTGATTTTCGGATACGTTAAACTTTTATCCTTGCGACTGCTTTTACAAAAAGAATTTTGGAAAAATAATAAAATTTTGTATTTTTAAAGAATTTTTTAAATGAAGCTTCCGAATATACTTCTCACATCTCACATCTTTAAAAATGTGGTTTTGGCAACAGTCTTATTGTTGTTGACAGATTTTTGATGAAATCGCATCATTTTGATTAGTTTCATTCTTTTAGAAATATGGGTTTGGCAACAATATTTCATCGTATTTCTTATGTCACTGTTTTTAAGAGATTGGCATATTTCATTGTCATTTATATATATATATAATGCATCTTTATTTATTTATTTATTTATTTTTTTTTATATATAAAGTTGTTCTGCAGAGTGAAATTCTGCGTGGCATTTTATGTTTTTTGAGTTGCTTTCATGTTATTTTTTGCTTATTTCACTTTTTGTAAGATATTGAAAAGTTTTGCATGATTTTTTTTTCTTTAACGGAAAGTTGGTTAATTTTTTTATTAGGATAATTAATATTTAAGAGATATAGCTTATTTAATTGTAATTTTTTCTCTTCAAAATATAAGATAAAATATTATTAATTATACTTTGCTTTTCAGAAGTTTTTGTTTTTTGCATTCTTTTATGTTATTTATTGCTCATTTCACTATTTTTAAGATATTGAAAAGTTTTGAGTGATTTTTTTTAAGGAAACAAAGTTCTTAACAACCTTTATACCATTTGAGTTCTTAAGATTTTGCAAAGAGAAGTTGGTTGGTTAATTTATTTATTAGGATAATTAATATTTCTATTAAGGGATATTGCTTATTTCATTGTAATTTTGTTATACATAATAGCTTTTTTTTATGAAGTAGTTCTGCAGAGTAAAATTCTATGCAGTTTTTAAATTTAATGTTTGGTGTTTCCTTCAGCCAGTTTTCTGGTACATTTAAAAGCCAGACGAAGGCTGGCAACAAAGCTGCTAGTAATATCTAAATCAAACTTGCCAATTCTAGACCTATATGTGAACATTTTTTTTTTCATTGTGATAAGCATTTTTTTCTGCTTACCTGTTTTAATAACACTAGAAATTTAATTAGTTCAGCTGTTTAATATTGTTTAGTGATTGTAAATATAATTTTCTGTATATTGGAAAAAATCGATAAAAGTTGTTAAAATTTAAAATTAGAATTATGAGTGAAATTAAAGATTATAATTTTTTTTTTGTTATAATTTGGATATGTCTTTATCAATGAATGATTGATAAAGATCATGTGTTATTTGTCTGAATTTCTGTGCATGAAATATTAGCTGCAAACTTATGTGCATTTAAATTTTATTGTGCTGTTGCATTCAGTGTTACATATTACCATTTCCTGTCAAATTTTAATGCAGTTCCTATACAAAGTATAAAATACATTAAATTAAATTAAAATGAATGGATTTATTTATTTATTTACTTAGGCATGACAGTGACAATAAGTATGTAACTATTCAAATACTTTTGTGCTATACTGAGCAAAGACAAAAAATTTGTCATCTGTCACATTTGTTACAAGAGCTTTCAAAAATGGAGACTGAATCAACAGTTGGTAAGATATGTATTAGATTTAGTAATTTATTATTATATGCATGATAATTTCATATGTCTTATCTGTAGCAAAAACTCATCTCTACATTTTTTTCCTTAAAAAATCTGATGTGTACACCACATGACTTCTTTGTATGGAATACTAAATTATACGCATTTTTTCTTGCATTTCATTTAAACTTATTGGATTGAATTAAATCTACTTCGACTGCATTTGTTTACCATAACAACACTCTGGCACTAGGTACACTTAACAGTATTATATTTTGTTCATATTATAACTCAGAATGCACAAAATTTATATCATTTAAGGAACAGAATTATCTAATCGTTGCCACATGTTCTATTCAAATACTATAATAAAGCTAGAATGATGTATAAAAGAAATTAAACAAAACAAAAATGAAACAGTTTTTCACAGACAATTGAGTATTTCTCATTCAATTAATTCAGTTTTCACTTCGCGAGAAGGCAAAAATACATAAAAATTCAGAATATCTATATTAAAAATTACAAAGTAAATCTTTAACACTTATTTCCTCGAAAAAATTCCAGGAAGGATTAAGCATGATTTAATTGGCAATAATAAATGAAGGTGTTATCTTTGTTGTTGCGAAGCTAAGTTTCTCTAGATTGGCAACAAATCCACTATTCTGCTGTTTCAAATGTAAACCAGCAATGACCGCCATCAAAAAAAGGCTTAGCGGCACTTAAACAACTTTAACATTGTTGATAATTCTAAAAATATTACAAACAACTTTAACATTGTTGATAATTCTAAAAATATTGCATACATATTTACTAAAGGCATAAAAATCTTAACCGGAAGATAAGAGCAATATAATTCAATCATCATTTTTAAGCAAAAAAAGCAAAAATGTACAATTTAACAACATATAAGAGTAAAGAAACTGAGATCACTGAGCCGGGTAGGGTAACAGAGTGGATATATGTATAAATATATTTATATACGTTTGGTGAGGCCGATTGCAACCAAAATACGAGGTGCACGTCTACATGCTATAGCAGTCCTGTATACAAAATTTCAACGTTCTGAGGCTACTCATTTTTTAGTTATGCAAGATACATATGTTCGTACAGGCGCCACAAAAAATTCTCTTGAGGATTCATTTTAAAGCAGTTTTATAATTTTTTTGGAGGAAAAGAGTCTTTTATTCTTTCCTTACGTACAGATGTCATGCAAAAAATCTTTAAATTGCATTCGATAGCGGTCAAAATGGATATTTTTGTTGAAATATGCTGCCTGAAACTTTTCGCGATTACAATACTTCCTTTTTACTTCGTACAAGGAAATAAAAATAACAATAATCCATTCATCTTTTAAAATTATAATATGCTGAGTTCCTTTTGTTTAGATTCTCTTATTAAAAATATTTTATATCAGATTTTCAGCTAAAATATTGTAAGACATTTATATGCATTATTATATGCATAATAAAACACATTAATTTAGAACATTTTTACTTTATTTAATTTTTATTTTAAAATTTATTTGCCTCCTTTTCTTTTCAGCAAATAACAGTTTGCCAGTGAAAAGTTGAAATAACTTGCTGTTTAGAAATGATTTTAAAATGAAAAATTACTGTTAAAAAAGGGCAAATAAAATACCTTGTTTCAGTTCTAAAACAGATTAACATTCTTTACTCATTCTTGAAAAAGTATTATATTGTGCAACAAGTAATAATATATGTGACCATTTTTAAGGATGTAAACATAGCATTTGCTCTCTTGTTATACTGGATATTTCTGTGTTTTAGAATGTAACTCATTGTCCATATGTGCTCAAGAGACCTTTGTATTTCAAAAAACTATGCAACATTAGCGAAACCAATAGAAATTATCTTGTAAGAATACAGAAAGTGAAAGTTCCTGTAATAAAGGCGTGTGCAAGTTTGACTATTGAAGTTCAATATTTTTTGCATGCTTGCTATCCTAGATGTACTAGTTTATACAGTGTCTAATTTGCATTTTGAAAAGTGCCACTTGTTAAAATCTTGTAATATGTTATCATTTACAAATAAAAAGAATATTATTTCTATTTTTTGTATGGGTAAATTAAATGTGTAAATACTACTCCTGCCTCTTGATAACTGCAAAAGATGGATAATTCTAACATTCAGCTTTCTTTTTTCATTAATTTTATGTGAAAAAGACTTTTAAAGGAGAAATTATGTTGCCCTCTCTTCATTAGGAAGAGGAATCAGTAAGCAGAATAGTTTTTCCTTCTGAATGAAAAGATATAGTCTGCTCTTATACTTTAGGAAATGCCAGAGGAAAGAGGAAATTGTACAATTTCCGTATTCATTGAGCATTTTAGTGATGGGGAAAATTGCTCAGTAACATAAAATAAATAGTGTTTACACTTAGTGTGTTCTAAATTTAGGATGGGTTATCACAATACTTTTGCCATTTCTCATAAAATTAAAGAAAAATCAAAATTAAATAATACATTAAGAAGAAGGACTTGATTTTCAGCATTTATAATGAAGGAATTAAAAATTCCTCCATTAAATTAAAAGAGCAACTAAAAAAATTGATTAAACTCATTGCTCAAAAATAAAAAAAATAATTTGATTTCATAAGAAAGTATATAATCATTGTGCATTCTAAGAATATAGATATATATATATACACATTACAAAAATCTTAGATTCAGACATCCAATCTCTGGAATGATCTAAAATCTTGACCTTAAAGCCACAACCAACTTCTTTTTTTTTTTTTTTGTGTTTATGTGTGTCCCTCTCCGAATAAGACATGTGGAGATAATTTCGCTTTAGCACTAAATAAAATACGTTGTTATAGAAGAAATGATTATTTCAGCATATATTTGTGCAATCAATAATTTGGCACCTTAGCTTCGTATGTACTTGTCATACATCTCAAACCGAAACATTATACATAGAAACTTCATTGATTTTACACTTACTGATATTTTATATCCCTGGCACCAACCCGATGAATCATTATTTATACTTTCATCACTGCATGTTTATTATTAACACATAGCAACTTAAGTAATGACTCGTGCAGCGATGCCTAAAGTTTTTTTTTTTTTTTTTATATATATATATATATATTAGTAATTGAAAAACAAAGAGAATGGTTCCAAATTTTTTTTTATTTAGAGAAGCACCGAGCAACAAAATTAAGGGATGACAAAATTTTTATAATTTAGGCAAAGCATTGGACCCAAAATTTAGAGGCAGCAAAAATTAGGGAGGAACTTAGCAGAATGTAGGACCCACAGAGTAGATAAAATATTTGGCGAAGAGCCCTTGATAAGCCTTAAGCATATGTGGGAATTTATTTATTCAGAACTCAGAAAAGCCTTAAGCATGTTCAAGAAATAGACATAAGTATAATAAATAACTAAGCTGATATACATTTCAGGCTTAATTGTCTCAGTGCATGATAGAAGCAAGACAAAATTTAGTAGAACAACTTGTCTTTCGTCGGCAGTCTCATGGTACATATACAATAATCTGTAGCGGATGCTATTAAGCCAGGCTAAAATATTCTTTACTGATTCTAAGGAATTTCAGTTAATATTGCAGATTATGCCGTTCCTTAACTTTCTGATTTGATCCGTATTATTATATATGAAATTTTATGAAAATTACAATTTGAACTTTTGAAAATGTCGAAAAGAGTTTCTAATTCTTGAGCTGCAACAGGATCTACAAAGTGAAAGCATGTTTCGATGTCCTTTAAACAAAAAGTGGAATTGCTGCATAAGAGATAAAAGTATATCTGTCTCCAAAATTATGAAAGAACTATGGTGTTGGAAAGTCAACTCTATATGACATAGGAAAACAGATGGATTCCGACACTTCACAATGAGTAACAGAAAAATTATTCATAATGCTAAAAGTGATCATCTTGACAAAGTGATGGTTGTAGTGGTCAGAATGCCCTGTAGTGAGGGCATGCCATTGACGGGTCCAATGCTAATGGCACAAGCCAAAATATTTCATGAAGAAATTAACTTAAAAACTGAGTGTGCATGTTTGACTGGTTCGTTAACCAAATTAAAAAATTTCAAGGGGAAAAGCTTCAGTTGATACTGAAGCTGCTGAACTATTTACAGATAAATTAATTCATTGAACTCATTAATAGTGAAAAGTTATCTCCAGAACAGATTTACAACGATGGCTGTGGAGTCATGGAGTCAGTATCAGAGTTGGGCAGATTTTTGGGTAAAGGGAGTTGAAGTAGCTAAAAACACGACTCTAGATTTTTGTTAGAGAGTTTGAATTTGAAATGAAATCAAAGTGAATTGAAAAAATATTAATGAACAACTGAGTTATTATTTTTATTTATGGACTATGTACATAAATAAATATTTAGTTATTTTCTATTTTATTATCATTATTTTCCATTTTGAACAATGGATATGATATTTACCATTATTCATTGAACTGATTCATTTAGTTACTTCTTTAGCTCATGGATGGCATTATTTTAGCATAATTCACAAGAAAAAGGAGTGCAATGCTGCAAAATGCATCTCAAGTCACCGAATCTGAAACTCAAAAGTATCTTATGGTTAAAATACTGAAGCTAAAGAAATTGTTAAAGTAGATGAAAAAAGGACTGCTTTAGATATTGAAACTTCTAAAAAATATTCATATGAAGCTTGAGATGATGTTGCTGAAGAGGCATCAAACCTTGTCAAATCAAACAGATGCGTTGTGCAGTCCACATCTTGCAATTTGCTAAGTGATGGGCTGAAGGAATCTCATACTACAATTCTCACTGGTAAATAAGGCAACAGCAGTAGCAGCAAGAACTCCTAAAATTGATGCCATTCTTAGGGGTCCAGGAGAAAAAGAAATTATTGATCAAACAACATGATTGAGAAGTACATATTTGACGATAAAGATTTTGTTAGAATTAAGAAGTTTTCTAAAAGATTTAGATAACTGTAACGTTTCAGTAACTGAAAGACTGTGGAATGATCTTGCAGAATTGGAAGCT